CCAAGATTTTTTAAAGAAAAAAATTTTTTTTTTTTTTTTTTCCCCCCCCCCCCCCAACAAGGTAAAACGTACTTCTTTGTAACATTTTTCAATACTGTGCATCTGTAATACTTTGTCCACGTGTTTTATTGAAGTGCCAACGAGTCTCATAATTTCACTTGCAGGTGTAGTCCAGTTGTAGTTCCCACTGCAGAGAGCATGTGGACCAGATCATTACGCTTCACCTGGGTTCATCTTGTAGACAGGATTTACCTCACGGGTGTGCATCAAACGGTTATTTTTGTATGAATAAAAACGTAGACCATAACCTAAACCGTAATGGGGAGTGAATTTACATTGAAACCAAAAATATTTTTCAAAGTGTGATTTCATACAGACATACTGTAGCCTCAGTAGTTTGCATTCCTTTGTTTTTTTTTTTTTTTTTTTTTTGTATACGAGAAGAACTTGAGTGTGAAATTATCCGCTTATATTTAGTTTTGTGTGCACAAATCTATGCGTGCGTGCGTGTGTGTGTGTGTGTGCGTGCGTGCGTGTTTGCTTGCAAGTTTCAGCGTTTGCGTGCACATGTGTGTTGCCATCTGTAATTACTGTACAATACCAACCGGGCTGTCATGAATGATGATCTTGTGGTCTTTCTGCTGAGAGTATAGCGCACTGGAAAACAGCCCAGAAACTGCTGAGACAAGTATCTGTGTTCACTTGTTAGTCTGTCTGTTCTCCCACTGAACTGCAGCCGTCGTCTCCAGATGTCTGGCCTCGCTCCTGTTTGTATTCTGCAGCCTTCAGCAGACGTGTTGCCATGATGTTTTGGTGTAAGACCTGACAGGAAGCACGCCAGGTTGATGTCAGCTGCTCAACTCAGCGTCTCCTCCTATGCAAATCCTTCAGTGTAACCTGCAGCCCAGTCAGTCAGTGCAGCACTTATATGGTATGTTCTGTAAAGATGAATGTTTACTTTTTTTTTTTGTTTTTTTGTTTATTTTGGGAGAAAGTGGCACTTAAAGGTCATGAAATGGATTCCACTGAAGCACTAGAGGTGTGGTAATGTCTGAGTCTGGATCTAGTGCTTTATTTTTTTAATCTTGAAACACAGGAAATATCCACCTGCACAAAGCATCTCATTGCTGTAATTAAACCGATGTAACTGCTGTTAATGATTTTCTGTGTTCAGGTAGGCAGCACTAGATTGTAAGCTTTCAACAGTAAGAACATCAGAACACCACTGGAATATTCTGCCCGAGTTATTTTGTTTTTTTTCTTTTCTGTACTTTCTTTTTTTTTTTGGTCCTTCTATAACATATATTGTTCTAAATAACCTTTTACAATAATTTTAATTATTCGTTTTCAGCAATTGCTTTACACAATAAGAAAATGCACATTCCTTCTCTAATTTTGAATTAAAATGTCTTAAATTAAAGTGATCGCTCTGTTTTTGCCTGGTGATATTTTCTACCCGTATACTTTCCTGTTTACCAATAGCTCCTTCTTTTGGGCTCTCTGTAAATTGATTGTGACATGTTTTTTGCAGCTCTGCTCCTCCCTCTCATGTAAACACATTGTGCTGTAAAATACCATCCAGTCACTGCAGTCTGGCCTTTTGTAATTTTATGGCCAAAAGGCAGCACAAGAATGAGTAAACAGTGGAGTTGATTATTTCTGCAGATAAATCCAAGGATTTTCCACGGCTCCAGTGTTTCCAGAGGGATTTTTCCAACATTGATTGCCAGTATCCAACAAGACAGCCTCCTCTTTGAGTGTGTGTGTGTGTGTGTGTGGGGGTGTGTGTGTGCGCGCGCGCGCGCGCGCGCACAGTGAGAGATATGGAAAATTACTCTGCAGTGTCATTGATACATGATTTTTTTATTTTTTTTTCATTCATAGACATTTCTAACTGGTTTTCTTGTTTTTACTGACACAGTATTCTTGAAAGCCAAAATACTTATGTGGCTCAGTAGAGCAAACCTTTGTTCAGACCAGCAGGCTGCACGGGTTTAGCTGGCTTTTATTTCTAGACGCAGCTCTCGTTGTGGATAACCTTACTTTGGCTCCGATTGAAGAGTTGAGGGGCAAAAAACAGGGAAAAACAATTTTTCACACTTTTTCCATATTCAATAAATGCATCAAAACTTAAGAACTCCCATCAGTTTTGTATTATAAGCGTCAATCCAACAACAGGATAAAGTTTAGTCATTTGCTGTAATACATAGATAATCTTGTAACTCCATTTTCTTTTGGTAAGACGGAGTTTTGAAGAACCTGTAAATCGGTTTCTTAAGTTCCTTTTTTTTTTTTTTTTTTTTTGTTAAACAAGGGAATCAAGCAAAGCCTGACTGGTACAACTTTAAACTCTCTCCAACACAACATCCTAAAGTTTTCTGTCAGCGGCACAATTTTAGATGGTTTCAGACTAGAGTTGCACTCTGCAGCTCTTTAAAAATGATTTTGTCTATTTACAAGAATTCAAGAATCTCCAAATTTAGGAGAATATCCTAATTCTTTAGTGGGAATATCTAGAAATAAAACTATTTCTTGAAGATCCTGCTAGTGGAACATTGTGCATGATTTATTTATTTTTTTCTGCTCTGGAAAAGTCTGAAAAGCAAAACTGTTCTTCCTTACAGGTTTAAATAATTCAGTAACAACCTATTCCTGGAGCCTGCAGCTACTTTCTGTGCATGTGCTTTCTATTCTAGATAGGGTTACACATAAATTCTGTCTCGTTCTCATACATCCTGATCCCTTAAATTAGCCTGAAAAACTGAATTCAGTGTTACATTCATTCTTTGTCAGGCTTTTTCAGACTAGAATGTAAATTCTGCCATCTTGGCAAAGCCCGACTCGCTTCGCTGATGTTTACTAGGCTGTAAATTTACAGAGAAAGTTGAGCAGAGCTCCACGTTTATGGATAGATGCGAGTCCAGTCAGAGGGCCTTAAAACCACAAAACACTTGTTAAACCTAGAATTTGTCATTTTGGGAATGACCCATTTTACACTCACGTCAGTAATAATTTTAGAAGCCTTCTTCAACGGCGCACGTTTTCATGCAGTCTTTTGCAACTTGCTGTGCCAGTCTCGTGCGAAAGGAGTTGTGCATCTCAAAGCCGTTACAGTAAACATCCTGGAGACGTCGACTCGCGCTCTCATGTCTCTCCCATGCATTCTTCAGGAACCCGAAGCTTCCTTTCACCCAATTAGCAGGACCAGTTAACACCACCAGAAAAACCACAGCTTCCTTTAATCCTTTATGACCTTCTGCTTGGCTTGCAAACGTGAACGCCAGAGGGCAGAAATCGTTCTGGCCCAACACTAAAGACCATTTTAAGATATTTAATAAATTCCTTATTTTTAGGGTTTCTTGGTCATACTTGCTGATTATCAGAACATGCATGTAGATGAATATTTTTAATCGTAATCCTCATTTAAGCTAACGTGGACAGTTGTTGATAGAAATATCATGATTTTGATTAATATAAGGATTGTATCCATTGTGTATTTTATGAAGGTTCATATGGTTGGTTAAAGTCAGATACTTGAGCTTAGGTTGGAAGCGGTGATGTTGAAAGTAGCGTGCAAAGTTATAAAATCAATTTTTAAAATGGTTTGCTGTTTTTTTTTTTTTTTACTCTGAACAACTGAAATTACTCATGAATCTGACTGCAAGCTATTTAATGTGCATTTAACAGAATTTCAGAAAGTTAATAGATTTTTTTGTTGAATGTGTGCCGTCTCCACTTGACATACAGTAAGTCCTTCCTCAGCAGCATCAGCCAGTTTCTGCAACAGTTAATCCTAACACATCCCTTTTCAGAGCGTTTTCTGTCTTTTTTCACATCCCTTCAGGGTTTTCCCAACATGTTGGAGAGTAAAGGGTGTGGCACCAAAGCTTCGTGCCACTTAAACTTACACACTGCCACTTTTAGACATCTCCCAGAAACATACAGCTGATCCATGGCTTTGTTTTACAGCCCTGTCTTACAATGAAATCTATAAACGGTCTTAACTGCTGCAAATTTGAAAGCCTGAACTGTATTTTCACTTTCTAATTAAAACCAGAGGTGGGCAGTCTGGGAATTTTTTTTTGTTGTTTTAAGATTTTATTCTTTAGTTATTAGTTTTGTCAAAAGTATTAATATTCATATGTTCAAATATGCTAGACTTTCACAGGGCATCCTATTATATTTTTTTTCTTTAAACCAGATGGTCTTGCAGCATAAACGAGACAAATATAGGCAACAGGTGTAAGATGGTACTGAGGAAAAAAACTATGTAGGGAGAAAAACTTAAAATACTTGACGTATTTATCTTGCACCTCCATTATTTATCATTTTTTTATTCTAATAGTTTTCAGATATGAGGGTTACCAGCGATTTATATAGAAGTCTCATTACTATGAGTTTCAGGTCCTCCTGATTCTCAGACTCCATCATGACATTCTGAGGAGCTAGAGGAGATTGGTATGCATGCGTCAGTCTGTGTGCGTGTGTGTGTGTGTGTTCATGGTGTTAAAAGTGTGAAGGGGGTCTATGAGAGAAAAGAGCTCCGAATAGAAGAAAAGGAGGCAGTATAATTGGCTTTGGCAGTGCCAGACAACACAATGACAGGGCATTGATAGAGGAATGAACTCTGGGGAGCAGGGGACCAATGGAGGAGCAGGAGGCTGTTTTTCACAACCTCTGATTGGCCGAGCAGCGAGGCTGTCGGTCTCCAGGTAGCAAAGTGAATCTCGGTGCATATCTGCCACCCTTCCTGGAGGAGAGAGGGAGGGAGGGAGAGAGCACTGGAAGAGCTGCGACCTCAGCTGTGGGGAAAACGATGAATTTACATAAACAGAACATGTGATGTTTTATGCTCTGCGTCATCTCTTCTCTTCTAGCTCCTCTCTCCTAACTAGACCAAACACCCATCAGTCAGATTTCTCTTCAACCAGTTTGGATTTCTTTGGCTGCCCTTAGCATCACCACGCCAGAGGCTCTGAAATAAATGTTTAGTTTATCTTTAACTTGGCTGTAAAACCCCTCAGTGGTTCTTTATCTCTGTTTCTAAAGCTTAAGCTGGACGTCGTTCAGCATTCCTGCTGCTCGAGGGGAGAAATATACACCGGAGTGGCATTTAAACTCCAACAATACTGACTTTTACTGACTACTAATGAAGCTAAGAAGGTTTGTTCTTAGTACATCATTTGCATGCACCAGTGTATGTCTATCCTTATCCCAGCTCTTCACACATCTGGAAAAGTTGTCACCATATAGCTTTCCGCTGCATAAATAAACTGAATTATATGAATATGAATGAGTAAGATTTGCTGTTGCATTGAATTTGCCTTCAAGTGCCACTGCATCTTAATCTTTTTCATTCAGTCCTCCTGCATCAGCCGTTATAGCTTTATGATTTCAACATGATCGGATTACTCGGCTGTTTGTACAACATCCTCCATGTGACACACAATTAACAGTTAATTAAAATGGGACCAGCGGTGTCAACCGATTGGCTGTGCCGCCGTACCTGTGAGTGACATCTCCATCATCTCATGGCGACCGGTCGTCGCCCTGAAGCAACAGGATTCAAGCCCAGAAATCATCTCTCTGACTTGTGCAGGAATCTGTCCATCTGAGTTTATTTATAGTTGTTGAGCTGATTCAACTATTTCTATAAATATTAACATTTTGTCTAATTGTGTGGCCCTTTTAAAAAAAAAATCTGCTTGCCGCTTAATTTCCATGTCTTTGTCCTTCGTTTCCTCATTGCTCGCATGACTCTTTCCCTGAAACAAAAAATATTTCTGCTGAGAAAACATTCAGCTCATCCTGCCTGTCGGCACAAACATCTGCAACTGACATCATGTTGGGAAGAGGCCTTTGATGTGTGCATGTGTGTGTGTAGTAAAGCGTATACCTCAGACCTGAAGACATCCACCAGCGTTAAATGCCATTGAAGAGCAAATGTGAGATTTGTAAAGGATGGTCTGTATTTCTGAAGGAGACCACCACGATGTTTTCTGGTCAGAAATCGAGACAAAATATGACCTGTAACCAGGTGAGGTTAAAGAACTATTATTTTTGGACCAGCAGTTCCTGAAGCACATTATGTTTCACTTTATCTTTTTCATTTCATTTCCATGTTGGATTAGTTGTATTTTGTTTATAAAAATTTAGGTTGAAAAATCAAAGTCTACAAATATAAACTGCATGTCTAAGACATTTTAAGATAAGTTCATTTTTGTTTTATTCTTGGAATGTATGTCTGATTCAACTAATTAGAAACATTTTAATATTTATTCTATTGTCCACTCGACTCCTTTTTTTCTATTTTATTTTTGGTCTTTCTTTTAATAAAAGGCTCAGTAATTTTGCAGTTATATTATGTATTGACCCTTTGCACCTGACGTCACGCTCTTGGAAACTCCTCCCGCTCCACCATGACGGAAGTAAAAAAAAAACAAAAACCAAAAAAAAAAAAAAACAAATTGTAATGGCTGTCAAAAACACACACATGGTAATTTTATCCAATTGATTTCAATTTAAAAAATTGATATAGGATGCTGCGCGGTCAGCTGCACAAACAAACAAGGGTGGAAACCAAACTTGTCATTTTATTGTATAACTTTTAATAAAGAAAGATAAAAGTAATGACTGTCAGCCCTCGGTTTAACCGCGGATTCGCAGCTTTCAACACATTTTAAAAGGTAAGAACTTAAACATTCATATACGCTACAAGTAACTATGATTAGAAAGATGTCAAATATTGCATTGTAGCGAAGTGCCTATCGGTAACCATGTCATGTAGCCTAGCATATACCGCTACATGGTCTTCTGTACGTTTTTAAGGCTGCTCCGGTGTAAGGGGAGACGCTGTTTATGACAAAGTGACATAAATCTTGTGGGTAATTCCGGAAAAGTCGGTAATTTGATTAACAAATCTGGAGGTGTCGAGGTATGGGTCGGTTTCTAAGCTAGCTATTTCCAACTTTTACATTTGGAAATACCCGTCATAGGAGCCCCAACCAGGTGTGTCACTTTCAAAGATAAATTATCTCGACTTGGAAAAAGTACAAGCCATGAATAAACTGGCAAAACAACTTTGGAAAACAATTTCAGTCAGTCGCACAGGTCAATACTACCATCCCTTACTGCCGACGTCCATCATGGCACTAAGAATGGTTAAGTTGGGTAGTTGCAAAGGGGCCAGTCTTATTCTGATAGGTCTCTCATGTTGGCGATAATTACAAACAGTACCAGACGGATTATATTTTCTGATTTTTTTCTTGTGAAGTTTGCTTTATTTTATTACGCAAAGATGTACAGAGAAACATTAAATTTTGTTTTAAATGGGTTAACCTCTAGTCTCTCCTGTTTTATTTTTTTCCCTGTCTCGTCATCCATGGATTATTTTCTCTGATACTTACTGGTTAAATAAAGGAGGAAGTAGATCTTCTCTCTGCCTTCACTGGCATGATGAAACTATGAAACTTGATTTTTGCTGTGCTCCTTCAAAATACCAATCATCTCAAATTTTTTTTAGTATCTTCCCAGATATCATGCCACATATTAACGGAACACCTTCTCACTGTAGGTTTAAATCATTACAAGAGCGAGCTGAGGGTAGGGCAGCATCCATCCGGTTTGCAGGTTGTATTGAAGGCTGATGCAAACAGAATAGCAGTACACACCAGAGGTTACAGAGCCATGTTTATCCACATAGTGCTACTTTTTACTACCCTTTGATTTTGTCACAATCACACAGGCTGCCAGTGATCCCTATAAAGCCTTTACATGTGTAGCAAACAAATAGTGTGGGCACTAATGTCTTGTTTACTACTAAACTCAGTGGCATTGTAGATGCAACAAACCTGACATACAACTGTTCTTAAGCAAGCGACGACCTTCTGATTGTGTGAGTTGTAAATCATTCTGGTGGTGTGGTAAACGGGGGGAATGCTATGTAAAATGAATTTTCGTTAAGCTTATAATATAATGTTATTTCTTCATCAAAGAAAACACACCTGGAGTGTTGCTTTGACTCTGTCATATTTTTTGAAAAATCCTTGAATCTCATGTGGCAGCTCATCCAACGAATTACTTCTCAGTGCAACACTGGTAAAAAAAAAAAAAAAAACCATTGTAAATGGCATCATGGGAAACATTGTTGTGATGACTTCTTGAAGGTGAAGCGTCAGAAAGAACAGGAGCTTCTTAAAGAGACAGGTTTAATTTCTAGCTGTCAAATTTCTTTTAGGATATGTTTGATATCCACAACATTTTTATAGGAACTCAAGGTAACATTGTTACTTGATTGTGTTATAAAAATCCACAATGTGCCTGGAAAATACATAGGCCTTTCAAAACTGGGACATGTAACTTTTATTTAAAAAAAAAAAATGTTTTGTACATATTTGTTAAAACTGTCACTATGTTGTGGCAGTATGAGACACACTATGGGGAAAAAAAATTAAACTCACCAATGACTGCGGATAAATGGTTTTCCTAAATACGGTAACTTTTTTCTCAATCTAGCAGTGCATACACAAGGATGATTGACAGCACTACGACCTTCCACCTGGCTCTGATTAGTTACATACCTCAGCTTTAATGTTATCTCTGTGTTATTTGTGTTGGGTAGATGTGATTCTTTAAACTCAACTCCCAAACAATCCACCTACTACTTATTATTTTATATTTGGCAGCAAGTGTCTGAACGGAAACTCTCAGACAGAAAGTGTTCAGATGTTGTGTAGCTGATAATATTTGCGGTTTAAGCACAGACAATAATAATAGCTGTAGATTTTGTAGTAGATAAGTTTTTGCCTTCAGGGGAACCAATCTCAACACTCCTGTGCTCGTTTTAAGCGCATGTAGTTTTAGGGCAGAGACGGTGACAGCAACTGAGAGAGAAAAACATGATGGAACAAAGTTGAAATGATGCTAAAATTCATGTGGAAATCCCCCTGAAGCTATTGTCTCCTCCAGCAGTCAGGCTGAAGTCACAAGAGTTCGACTCTTTGACCCACATGAAGAGATCTTTCTTTCATTTGCTGCATGTTTCTGCTTGCAGGCCCCGTCACACGGTACGCTGTGCCACAGAGGGTTAAATTTTGATTACACTGTGGTAGAGATCATAAAAATAAAGAGCTTTTGAATTCATTTATAATATTTGTAGCCGCGTGTTGGTATGCCTGCCCCGCCCCTCTTGCACCCTTTACGTCCACTCACATCAGCGGAGGTCAGGGAGATGTCAGTCAGTTGACCTACATCAGCAGAGTCTGCGGCAGTCTGATTTCCTCGGGGTGCAGTGAGTTTCTGGGTGTGGTGTATCTGTGGTGCAGACACACGACTTGTAGGAATGTCTGCATCTAAGGAGGGTCAGCACTTATAAGAGGACTGCATCCACAGTGACATTTCAAGGTTTTTAAAAAAAAAAAAAAAGGAAAAACTGAAAAACCTTAAATGACACATTCCTGTTCGCAGTCCTAAAGATGAACAGGGATTATTTTCTTGAACCGTTTTTTTATGCTGTCTCTTTAAACTTTGACCACGTAATTATGAGAACATTTCTCGACCTTCATATAGCGTATTTTTAATATTGGGAGACTAAATGCTCAGAGATAAATGTTCTTCAGGTGAAGTGAACTCAGTTTTGTCAAAACGACAGTCTGTTAACTTTGTGCTGAATTTTAGCTTATCAGTTGGTATTGTTTATTAAAGCAGACCTAAAATAAATAATGTTTGGCTAATTAAAATAGTGACTAATAGGTCGTAGTAGGATCCAGCAGGAGATGAATCGGCTGATCTGGGCCTCATCTGCAGCTTTGCAGACGATGCTTTGATCATCACAGGAAGCACAAAGCTGAGGCAAAAATAAAAGCTCTTGATTTAGTGGTCTGTCGACATTCAGACCCTCAAATATGGTCATGAGATTTGGATCGTAGCTTAAGAGAAGGAGGTCCAAGACCCAAGCGACTGAAAAGAGCTTCCTCCATAGGATGAGCATTAGAGATATGGTGAGGAGAGAGCAGGCAGGCTTCTAGGGCCGTCCAGCAGGGAGGAGACCACAGGCCAGAACAATAACTCTGTATTCTATATGCAGAGGCTTCTGGACCCAAGATTTAGATTCAAAAAGTGACCATGGGAGCAGAAATATTAGTTTCTGTACTTTTTTATGTCTGAGAAAATACTATTCATTCAGCTTATTAATATAAAAAACAATGTCATCTCAAGGCAATTTATTAAAAATAATTTCAATTCAATTACACATACATTCCAATTGATGCTAGGGTTGGGCTTCAAAATACATTTAAAATTTTTAAAGAAAAATTAAGATAAATGAATTTCTTCTCCTTCTGACATGAATCGAAGTGCTGACGGTAAAATAAGACTCCACAAAAAAAAAAAGTCAAAGACAATACCAAAGCACCCGGAGAACAAAAATGATGTCACTCCTTTGCTTTGTTGCCATGGTTACATTCACCTGCTGCTGTCAAACATCAGTATTTTCTTTGTCTCCTCTGTGTGTTTGGGTTTCCTCTAGTTTTATTTCCCTTCACCTTTGTTCTAGTGGATTTAACGTTTTCCGTTTCATATATGAATTTATTTCATATACATTTAAGAGGCTCTGCTCGACTACCTGGTAAAACGGAGGCACAGGTGGTGGCAGAGGAATGAGTAAAAACAAAGACGAGTGCGTGCATACACAACTGGAAATGACCCACATTAAAAAAAAACACACACGTCGATGTGATAATATCGCTGCAGCTCAAAAAGGGCTGGTGGTCTCCAACAAAAGGCAATAAAAACTGGGCAGTGATGCTCAGTCAGGCAGAATATATGACAAATTGGAAGTGATGAGAAGAAACGATCAGGCAAGAGACCAACAGCTGAAGTGAGATTTGCAGACAGTTCCAGCTGGAGGTGTTTTCACTCTGAATCACAGCTTTGTGCTGGTAACATAAAGGAGAGATGGGTCAAGAGCTCCATTTGATTTTTTTTTTTTTTTTTTTTAAGGA